TATTATTGGCATTGTTGCTGTTGTTGTTACCATTGTAACTGAGATTAGGATCTCTATTGAATGACTGATCGAACATAAAAGGATGTTGCAGATTATGTTGCTGCTGTTGCTGTTGTATCAACATTTGTTGATGTTTTTGCTGTTGTTGCTGTTGGAAGTCAAGAGGAAGATTAGGGCTCATGGCATGACTAGAGAGTTGTTGTGTCAACACATGTGGTGATATGTTCAATTGCTGATGTTGCTGTTGTTGCTGCTGCATATGTTGTTGTGGAAATTGTTGCTTTTGTTGCTGAATTTGTTGCTGCTGCAGTTGACCTGGTGATAAATGTTGTCCTTGGTCCAGAAGATTCTGCCTGATTGAAAGATCCTTTCTTATTTTTAACTTAATTGGACTGGGTTCGGTTTCAAAGCTTCTACTTGAAGATGACTGTTGTGGTTGTTGAAGGGGCTGATGTTGGTGTTGCTGTGGTTGATGCAGTTGTTGTTGTTGGTGAAGAAGTTGGAGCTGTTGTTGCCACAGCAAGTTGACAAAAGGGTCATCAGCATTGCTGACCTTTTGGACTACCTGCTCAAGTGCACTGACATCTGATGATGGCTGCTGGGTTGCTACAATGTGATTTTTTGATTTATTTCATTGAATACATAAATAAGTTTAAACAATTGTTAAATAATAAACCTGATAAAAAAAAAGTTTAAAAAAACTTCAAAAAACTAAAAACAACAAAATTAAGCCAGTCCAAGCACAAACATCTTGAAAAAAGAAATAAACTGAAGAAAAATTGCCTAACTTTTATTCATTTCAGTCCAAAATGGAGACATGAATCTCACATTACCTTGATCATTATTATTGTTGTTACAATCACCACTGCCATCATTTTTATCAATTTTATTATTATCAATATCATTGTTGTTGCTGCTAGCATTATTCACGTTATTATTGTTATCATCAAAATTATTATGACTCTTTTGTAAATCTGGATTGGAGAAATATTTGTCCTCAAAATGTCCGATAAACTGAGAGTGTCCTAGTGACTGTGCACCAGGATTCATAAAATGTGGTGGTGGTTTTGGTGATATTGAGGGAGAACCACCGTGATGTTGTTTTTCCTGGTGAGAATGGTGACAAGGTTTACCTTGAAGATTTTTCTCCTCATCATAATTTTCATTTTTATCCTCGATATCACCACTACTTCCACCTCTGCCATCATCTTTAATGCTGTCATCTACTCTGTCAGCATCTTTGTTTTCTTCTTCTACATTCTTCCAAACATTTTGGAGATCTGCTCGAGTTTCTGAACTATCGACAGCATCTGGCATGCGAATTTGATTCTCATCACCACCATCGTTCTCATCAGAATTACTCGGTCCACCTTGATCTCTGGTGGTGAGTATCGAATGAAGATGGTGATATCTCTGTTCTTGTTTCAGGTTATCAGCCAAAGAACTGTTAGACACTTCTCTATGAGTCTGATAAGAAATGCAAATGATGAACAATGAAATAAAAATGAGGCAGCAAGCATTAAATTAACTGAAAAAAACTAAGAAATCCATAAACTCACTTTGCTGACAGCTGTTCTCACAGCTCCTCTTAATGGGATTTGTGGCAAAACATGTCTAATAGGGGAGAATGTATTGTGGCCTATGTTTTGAGACATCTGTTGCTGGCTACTTGTGTCCTCAATGGAGTGAGGAAGCATATGAAATGCACTCACTCTGTTATCTAGCTCTGAACATTTAGGCCCAGGAGTTTGTTTTCGTTTCTCCATGATTTGATCAAATTCCCAAACCAAGTTGTCAATTTATAGCTAATGGAAGGAATAACTTAAAAACTGTAATAAAATAAAATATAAATTAATTTAAAAATTTTAATATTGTCGTGATAAACATTTATAATACAACACAAAACACATTCCAATTAAGTATTTAAAATTAATTGAATCAATCAGTTATCCAATCCATATCCAATGAAGGAGTCTTAAATAAATGTCAAAATGAAATGTAGATGCAACTAACTAATTATATGGTATTTGTAGGTATTTGCATGTAAAAAAGCGGTAGGTGGCGTTGTCAAACTTAACATAAGAACAGGACCAAACTAATCAATCAAGTCATTTTTTGGAAAATTTATGGACAAGGAGGTGATATCATTTGATTTTTAGAATACGACATATTTGTCAGACCCAGACATTTGTTATTTTTATACGAGCACCAAGTTAATTGAGTTACGTTACACAATGGCCCAATCTAATTTAGCGAAGTAAGTTAAGTTGGGGCTCTTTACTTACTTACACGGAATTCCTAAGTGAAGGCTTGTATGTGAGTGTTGTTAATTAAATCGAACATTGAAAAAATTAACAGCTAACGATAATCCGGATAAACTTCATTTCGTGAAAGATGAATGAAAAACAAAATGAACAATTTAACAATAATATTTCACCGATTCAGACATTTTCGAGATAAAGTAAATTGCAAAATATATGTAACAAAAAATGTCGCATCAACATTGCTGAAACTTGATTGGCTGGAAGTAGGTCAAATTTTGTAGGTTACAAGATGACCGAATGACTTAAAAGTTAATTGAATTCTCTTCAATTAATAAATTAATGATAGGAGTTGAACTGAAAATTTAATTATACTAATATGTCGTATTTAGATTAGTTGTAACGGCATATCGGTTAAAAAATTGTTTAAAATGCTAAGTTCATGCTAACAGCAGCTTATTTCAATCACTTTAAAAATTAAATTATATATATATATATATATATATGATCAAAACTACTGTGAAATTTGAAAAAATTGAAAACTGAAGCCAAATGAGTGTGCAAACAAAACAAAAAACGAACTCGTAACATAAAAGAGAGAATAAAAATTCGAAGTTATGTTTCCTGCCCCTATGATTAATCAATTTTTTTCAAAACTTTTATATAACTTTAGCCCAAGCTCACGTTTTCCATTCCTACTTAAACTAATAAAAAGTTAGAAAGTAAGGAAAGATGAGAACAAGAAAAAAATATCACACGACAATATAACTGCAAAAAAATTTTTGTTTGTATTACATGTTTGTATGTATACATGTACGTATGTATTTGTATGCTTGTGTGTGTGTGTATGTGTTGCTGTGTGTGTGTGTGTGTGTGTGTGTGTGTGTGTGTGTGTGTGTGTGTGTGTGTGTGTGTGTGTGTGTGTGTGTTGTGCCGTTGTTTGTAGATGTGAAAAAGCAATTATTTGAATGGCATTTAGTGAAAAGCCCCCTCGCCTTCGAGGGTGCTTCTCACTAAATATCGTTCAAATAAATGTTTCTTCACTTGTTTGTTTTCTTAAAAACACGATTCTCTATCTTTTTCTTGGTTGCATTTTATAGCACAAATGCTCTCAAACCTAGGTTACATTAGCATTTTGTACATATAAATATAACATACGCAAACATACAAACAACGGTACAACACACGCACACACACACTAACATACAAATGTATATCAATCAATCAATCAATTAGCTTAGAAAGCGCTATTTCCGCGATGTTCGACAGCGCTCCTCAATGAATTTTGAAAACAGATGGGTCTTGAGATCCGCTCTGAACTGTATACATTCATCATACATTCATACATACATACAAATACATACCTACATGAATACATATATACGTGTTATACAAACGAGCATTTATTAGCAGTTACGTTTCTCGTTCTTATCTTTTCCTACTTCCTAACTTTTTATTAATTAAGGTAGGAGTAAAAAAGGTTAACTTGGGCTAAAGTTAAATAAAAGTTTAGAAAAAAATTGATTGATCATAGATTGGTATCTTAACTTCGAGTTTTATTTCTCTCTCTCATGTTACGAGTTGGTTATTGTTTTGTTTGCACACACACTCAACACGCGTACGGTGAACAAAAACAAACATGGTGCTATGATACGAACATAAACATATTCAAACATGCATGCATGCATGCATGCATTATACGTTATTTTCATTGCGCGCTGGTTGTTTTTATTTTTTGTATTATTTTTTTAGCAAAAGACGTAAAGAGGAAGTGACTTATAGCGATTTGGCTTTTTTTCCAAACTTAAACGCGCTAGGCTAAAAATTCAATTAGACACGCGTTTCAAATTTTGCATGTTGACGAATGAATGATTTCATTCATAGGTGCAAACATTTTCAAAAAATTGAAAAATACACAAAATGTTCATTTTAGTGGCCGGGCAACAAAATTGATTCCTTGTAAAAAATATAAAAAAGCCACCGAAGCATTCAAATAGAAAATGAACTGAATTCATGAACCATTCTTTGTCACCGTCACTCTGAATGAAAAGGGCCGTGTTATATTATAAAATATCGTGTCAATACCTCCATGTTAGTTTTGAATGTTTGCAATTTGATATACGTATTTTCATTTTTCATTTCATTTGATATTGATAATGATTTATGAGTTTCTCATTTGATATGGTATTACAACAATTTGATGTTTACACTGTATGTAACATCAGTTGGCCGTAAGTGTTAAATTTACAAATCTAAAGTTGAATAACGAAATAGGTTCGTTCATTCTTAACAAAGTTAAAGCTATCAGATTAGTTACACCACAATTTTTGAAAAAGTTATAGCCTGAAATAAAGTTGTCAAAATATTAATATTATTGAAAACAATAGACTAAAGATTTTTGGTTGCAAAATTAATCAACTATCTTTTTAAGATACACGCATAAGCTCTTTATTTTGCCATTGATGGCTGAAAAATGCGTTTAAAATAGAATAAATATGTTATATATCAATAAATGGAGATAATCTTTTAGAGTTTTTTAAAAACAAATCTATCCAAAAAGTTGAAAATGTTGGTGAGTTTCGTTCTTACGACGATCATTTTCTTATCATCGGTCAGTTCGTCAGCTGCGGCAATTGGCAGTACGTATCGAATGATAGGAGAGCCAAATAAGTCCACATGCTTTGTTTCCGAACCTTCTACAGTAATAACCAACATCCGATCCTTACTGGAATGTTCCAGCAAATGTTCTCATCATGTCTCTCTCGTTGATAATGACACCGCCACTTGCAACGCGTTCAACTACATATCCAAGAACGCCAGTGATCCAGCCAAATATTGCCAACTCTTTAACTTCAATTGTGGATTTGAATTCGAAATGATTTCTAACATATCCAATTGTCAAGCTTACGAGGCAAGTTGCAGCTTTGTTTTAAAAAATGAAATTTCATCTGAAATAATTTTTGTACAATGAATAACTTAATTTAAAAATACATCTATGAGTTTTTTCAGGATGTTGCAACCAAGCAAGCGTTATGTTAGTATGGATAGATTTCATTGAATTTTTTGTTTCTCAATAATGGATATAAATGCTTGTGATTTTATTTACTTGACCGTCGTTGGACAGCTCCATGTGTAGCATTTTTTCAAACGCGCCGACGAACGCTCTATAATATTTGATGACATGAGATAACAACAGAAAATTAAAAAATTTAGAAAAAAGTGTTTTCACCCAAAAATGGTCGATAATTAAATTTGTAAGGCAATTTCTAACAACGCTGATACAATTATCAATAGTCAATAACTAAACGTACCTACTCACTGATTTTTCCCAAAACAGATGAATCCACGAAAGGCAGAGTTTTGACAATGACTGCGGACAACCAATTAAAAGAATTCTATGTGAACGGAAACAACATATCTGTGGACCCGACAACCTTTCCAAATGCAAACAAGTGGAACCAACCTGACACGTACAACTTAACATGTCGAGTCATCTATACCCTTGCAGTCAAAGCCTGGAACAATTACATTAAAGGTTATTAAAATAATGATGCAGTAAAATAACATTTCCTTGATAAATTCATTTAATTAACTCAAAAATATGCTATAAAACAATCAAAACAATTATTTGGCCGTAGGTGGTTTCATAGCCAACACGGCGGACCACTACATCTTGACCAACAGTACCTGGAAATGTTCGATGAACTACACGGAGAATTGGTACGAAATAGATTTTGACGATTCACTATGGCCTGCTGCATATTACGGCAAATGGCAAGGTGATAGCAAGGTCAATGCATATTTTCCAAATGAGACCAAGTGGATTATCGATCCTACCGACTGCCTGAATTGCATCTTCTTTTGTAGGAAATCATTTATAGGCGAGTGTTTGTCTTTTTGACTTTGAAATTTTAAACATTCCCGGCTTAATTTTAATGAGTTGTTCACTATAGGTTTCTAAACGGAACGCTTCTCGTCAGAAGCGAAGATGGCACATCATATGAAATCATTTTTTTTCTTTAACATTAACGTTTCTGCCCATTTCTGTCAGTTTCTCCATTTTTCTCCCTAAATACAAACGTTATGAGAATGCTTGATAACTGAAATAATTTAACTCAGTAGTTGACAGTTTGATTATTTTCTCAATAGATTCTTAATGCCTGAGTTATAACTTTAATTTTTTTTTAATTTTCAACTGTCAAAACAAAATTAATGTTTAATGTTGCAAGATAGCCAAAATTTTTATACTGCATCATACAAAATATTATCATTTTGTTAATTTTAATTTATATTAAAAGTTCACAAATTAAAAAAAAATTTTTAAACAAAACATTAAAAAATACTCTAAAACTCGATCTAAAAAAGTGACAAACATGAATGACTTGATATTAGTGAAAGCGTTTTCTAATAGATATTTAAACCCGCTTCCATATTCTGTTAACAAATCTCAGACAAAATTTTTTCTGTTGAAAATGGTTGTTTAACAAAGTATCAAAATATGCTTTAAAACTCGATTTAAAAAGTTAAAACCACCGATCAAGGATGCGTGGGAGCAGTATTGTTATTTAAAGTTAGTAAAACTCAGTTTTGGCAAAAAATAGCAAAATAATAAATAGGGTAAACCTCCATAACAGAATAGCAAGTGTTATCAGGTTGGCTGCATGTTCCGACCAAATTTTAACTACCACACATCAAAATGCATCAAACACACACACGCACACACACACACAAATTCTCAAATAATATCACTATAGTGGCAACAGTAGTAGTAGCAGTATTAGAAAGAGTAGTAATAATGATATATATTATACACAATTGACGATATAAAACATCTACCATTTACTAACCCTTTAAATATCAACGAATGTATAAATAAACATTTTATGTCCATCTTTGCTGTCGATATAATGAGAAATGTGCGAAAAATTTAGACAAAAGAATTCATGAAAGATGAACAATGGTCGCCAGAGACAAAACAAAAAACCTGCTAGAGTTGATGAACGAACTAAACGCGACGTGCTGCACTGAATCATTGTTCGGCGCTGTAAGCGTAAAGTGCAATATTCATTTCAAGGGAATGTTTTACTCTTGGTAGATTGAATATGTACAAATGTTCATGTTTGCTGAGTTGTTAACAGAAAAATTTTCCAGTGGTAAATTTGTTCACGATGTACTTCCCGCTTATTTTTTTGATACATTTTCAAGTCCATGTAATCATTGCAAAGCAGCAATGTTTTAAACCATTCAAAGAAGATGATGTAGATTTTTGTTCGTGCGATCCAGCGATTGAGGACAGGAGCTTGTCCACGTTCTCGTTTTTAGAGGCCCTCATGTTGTGTTCAATGAGATGTTCACAAACAGCCAGCTGTGTGGCTTACAACTTCTTCAATGCCACCAATCAGTGCCAACTCTTCAATCAAACATTGAACAAGTTCTCTGTACTTGCCAGGCTGCCAATATTATTTCAAAAAAGGTAGAAAACTTGAAATTTTCGTCTTAATTGTTATTAATACTAAGCATATTTAATGACAAACATTGAATTTTTAAATGAATTAATAATTTTATTCAAATTTTGAAGATAAACCTGACTGGCTAACCTCCTGACAATCACTGTGGACGACGTACTGAAAGAATTTTATTTCAATGTAAGAAATATTTCTCTGCAACCGAACTTTCCTCATGCTCTTGATATAACAACACCAGACAGATACAACTTGACTGGAAATGTTTACGTTGTAGCTGCCAAGTTGCACAATAACATGGCTGCTGGTTCATAAGTTTTATTAATGACCTCTGTAATTTTGCATTTCAAATCTTTCTCCAAAGTAAACATTTCATTAAAAAGCAAAACCTCCCCTCAGGTGGTTTCATAGCCAGCACAGCAGACAACTACATCCTGACCAACGAAACTTGGAAGTGTACCATGAACTATTACGATGGCTGGTACAAAATCAATTATAACGATTCATTCTGGCCTGCTGCACAGCTAGAAATTTGGCAAGGTGACTCGACGATTAATTCATTTTTCTCTAAGGAAGCCAAATGGATCAACCATCCAAATGACTGCCCCAACTGTGATTTTTTCTGTAGAAAGTCATTCATCGGTGAATTTTAGTTATTTCTTATTACAATTTTTTTTTCAATATTTTCGGGGACATCAGCAACAAACACACAGTGCTTGCAAACACACGTGAAACAACGCATCCCACATATTTGTATGTGATGGGCGGAAATCTCTTCGCAATCAAATCCGGACACTGCAACAGTAGTGCCAGACGCTTTACCGTTACACCACCAGACGGCACGATTTGAATATTTATAAAACTTAATGGATTTTTCGTCAATAAAAAATATATACGTTAAATTTATTCAGAAATGGTTGAGACGAACGGTTGTCTCCAAAACTGAAAATTTGTCATGTCAAGCCGGCAACAAGAATTCAACAAGATATTTATTCGTTGCATACAGTTCTTAAACATTTCTCAATTGCTGGTTTTCAACGAATCAAACCTGACAATATTTTGAATCAGATGAATCTATTTTCATGTGATAATATTTTTTCAGTGTTGACTTTAAAACTCTTCATTCATTCGAAAAAAATTATAAACCTGAAGTTAATGTTTCGAGAATTTTCATTCTCTTCTCTAAGCCCATTCATAGGCCGCATTTGGTTTTTCTTACATTTTTTTATGAATAATCTGGAGGATCGTGTAAAATGGTAAAGTAGTATTTCTGAAAAAATTTGTAGCGAACTGAAAGAACTATGCTAATAGGAATGGTGAAGATGATGAATGAAATGATGATGACAATGATTGTGTTTGTTATTTTAAGTGAAGTAGGATATGGTGGGAATAATGCTATTAAAATTTAAGAAAAACGATGAATTAAAACTTGAGGAGTGGAAAACTCGAGGGAGGGAATGAGTGTCGAACAGTGACAATTCTTTACACGGAATGATCGTGGCTTTTATTTTTCAAAAAACAGACATTCACGCCTTCTTCCCTTCTTCCCTCTTTATCTCCATCCACTATTTTATTAATTATATATTTTATATAAATAATATTATAGACTTTTACCTTATTTATTCCTTACTAAACATTATATTTCGTACAAAATATATAACTTACCCTCTTAGTAGTAATCATTTATTATGCATGTTAAATGCTTCAAGTTCATTTAACTTAGACTCGTACGTATAAAATCACTGGATGTTAACTAATAGAAAGTAGTGGTACAAAGCTATTTTGTGCATATTTATTACATAATTTACGCACGCCTGTTTTATTATTAATATATTTAAAAAAAACCCATTGTAGGACTGAATTTAACAACTATTTCTATTGCATGTTCGTATGGTGTAAAATAATCCCACTTTATAATTTGTCACATTGCGATATTTGAAACTATTTCGTTTCTAAAATAAACATACACTGAAGTTAACTAACAAGAACGTTTAAATTTTTTTTAGAAATTTTATCGTGAAGATTGTACTTACCAGGCGTTTAAAATGAAATGTACTGCTGTAAATAACACCCTTGCGACAGAATGGATAATTAAGCTTCCTTGATCAAAGGCAGAGTCCCATCATTATTTTGAATTTTCTCAGAAAAGTTTAAACTTTTTACTAAATACTAACTTTTATCAACAATTTTAAAAAAATTTTAATTTGATTTCATCGCGATATCGATATGACTTTTAAGACCTGACTGATTAAAAAGCATGAAAGAAAATTTTTAAAATAGGTTGGAGAATTTGTTATATTGGGATATTCGTATATAAAGCGAGCAAAATTTTAATCGGCTTGGAATCGGATGTTAAGCAAGGTGTGGTCTCAAACTATTTTGAACTCCCGCCAAAAAATTTGAACAGCGTGTGTACATATTAATCACTGGTTACTGTTGCTTTTATGATGAATTTAAATTATTTATATATATGCATATAAAAGTATATATATATAAATTGACTAGAATCCATGTATGCAAATAATTAATAAGATTATAAACCTATTCTCATTGGCTCAGATTTGATTGGCTCGGCCTGAAATCGATCTGCTTGGCTCGGCTTGAGAGTCAGGCCGAGTGAAGCCGTATATAAATATTTAAATTATACAAGTGATGTTAAGCAAGGTGTGGTCTTAAACTATCTTGAATTCCCGCCGAAAAATTTAAACTGCGTGAGTACATATATAGCACTGATTACTGTTGCTTTTATGATGAATTTATATATAATATATATATAAATATATATTTATTTAAATATATAAATTAACTAAAATCCATCTATACAAATAATTAACAAGATCAAATGTTTATATAAAAAGCAATATAGCAGATTCAACCAGCCAAGCAGAAAGTTTCGAAGGCGTTCGTTCGATAACGTCAATTTAGTACGGTTAGCATTGTTGTTAAAACTGTATAGTGTAGCACATACATTAAATAAGTTTTTAACTGATGTGAATGATTGAAATGATGAAAATGTATGGTTGAAACGAGTATAGATAGGAGCTAAGAGAGCGTTGAAATCAGAACAGGCATTTCTGCCTCGCTCGAGTCAGAGTGCATGATCTCATTTTTTAATATTTATATTTTTTTAATTTATTTATTTTTATTTATTTTTATTTTATAGAGTTATATAGAGTTTGCATATCTGTGGTTTGTGTGTTTGTATGTTGTATTTTTTTATATTTTAGGTGGGTTCTTTAGCGGTTGCTCATACATACATACATACATACATCATGTTTGTTTGTGTGGTAGTATTTTATGTTCTTTTTTACTCCTTTTTCTCTTTCTTCATGAGACTTAAGTTGAGTTAATGAAACGTAGTAGATGAGATTGAGATTAATTTATTATATAGGTAGGCTAGGGCATAAGGTAATTTAGTTACATAGGTAGGTTAAGAACTTATATTCTTTTACTCTACTTGGTGGTGTGTTTTTTGTTTTGTGTTTTTTTTTGTTTTGTTTCATACCATACATATAACAGGTACGCGGTGGTTCCTGGTTTTAGTGGGATTTTTATTGATTGAATGTGGTAGTATGCATGGTTATATAGAGTTATATAGAGTTATATAGAGTTATATAGAGTTATATAGAGTTATATAGAGTTATATAGAGTTATATAGAGTTATATAGAGTTATATAGAGTTATATAGAGCATAAATCTTATATAGATACCTTTCCTTGAGGTTCTTTTCTTTGCCGACCGGTCGGCTTCTTTGCGTTTCTCTATTTTCATTTCAATTAATTTAATAAATAAGATTTTTCCATTCATTTAGGTTCATTCAGGTTCGTTCATTCAGGTTGAAGCTTCCAGAGGAGTTCATCGTGGAAGATCAGAATGGTTGTGATGTCACGCTACGTTCGTTCATTCAGTGGCAGAATGCTCGTCTGGCTGGGGTTCGTTTTACGGTTTCTTTGCGGTTCTTTTTTTGCCAGTTAGCTGGTTTTTTCAGCTGGCGGGTTTCACGTTTCCCTATTTTCATTTAAATTATTTAAATAAACATGATTTTTTTCATTTATTCATTTCATTCAGGTTGAAGCTTACAGAAGAGTTCAGTGGCAAAGAACACACGCCTGGCTGGGATACGTTTTATTCTTTATTCTCTGTAATTTAACATTAAGTAAGAATGCTCACACGCACGCACACACACACACAATTACATTAAGTAGCTCTATAGGTAGGTTAGATAGGCGTAATTTTAATTGTAGGTAGGATAGATAGGAAGCATCCAACACTAATGTAGTTTAATAGGTAGGCGCGTAAGTTTAGCTCTTCTATTTTTTCTTGCACTCACATTACACGCATCAGCGTATTACACACACACACACACACACACAAATACATACATAAACACATATGTTAGTATTTGAGCGTAATTTTATTTTCATTACACATTCTAATTTATTATTACTAAGGTTGAGAGTAATTTAATTTCATAGGTAGTTAAGGGCAATAATGTAATTCTAGGAACAATCTTGTAATGTAAATTAAAACGCTGTAAGTGTATCGATTGGTAGGTTAATTATAAGTTTTACATTATTATTATTATTATGTTGGAGCCCAAGGCATTACGTAGGTGGTGGGGTGGGTGCCGAAAGGCCAATGAATTGGGCTCTTGAGTTTTGTAATTTGAGGTAAGCTAGGGCCGTTATGTAATGAATAGGTAAGTTAAGGCACGTTGTAACACATACTCATAATAGATTTAGGGTTTAAGTTTTATATTATTATTACTAAGTTGGAGCCCAAGGCATTACGTAGGTGGTGGGGTGGGTGCCGAAAGGCCAATGAATTGGGCTCTTGAGTTTTGTAATTTTAGGTAAGCTAGGGCCGTTATGTAATGAATAGGTAAGTTAAGGCACGTTTTAACACAAATTCAAAATAGATTTATGGTTTAAGTTTTATATTATTATTACTAAGTTGGAGCCCAAGGCATTACGTAGGTGGTGGGGTGGGTGCCGAAAGGCCAATGAATTGGGCTCTTGAGTTTTTTACTTTTAAGTAAGCTAGGGCTTAATTGTAATAAATAGGTAAGTTGAGGGTACGATAGCCGATAGACTCTGAATTTCAAAGTCTGTTGTCAGAGGTTAGACTTTCGACTATCGTACCATTAACATTTTAATATAAATTAGTTAAGGTAATTGAATAGGTAGATAGGATTATTTTTATTAAGCAATTTGAGATGCAGGCACCGCTAAACTTTCTGATGAGAATCTCCCTCTTTTTCCATTCCACGGGCTGTTTCATTATCAATCTCGAGGAGGACTGGCACCAGTTTTGGAGGACAACATTCTGCCTTTGTCGAATGGACGACGGTAAGTTTTTTTTACATTTTACTCTCTTTAATACTTAAAAATATTATTTATCTGCCATTATTTTCAATTTATTTTTTGCTTCTAAGGTTCTAACGTTCATTTACTACTACGCTAATAAAAAATTTTGTCTACAGAATGATGAGAGGTGGGTAGTGGTGGGCGTCAGCACGTTTCAGATGGTGGTCTCATGATGATTTACGTATGATGATGGTGGTGTAAAAAGAATCAGCTTGTTGGCTGTTCGACTGGCACACTAAAGTTCGGATGACATCTTGTGTGCCGACCAGATGGTGATGGTCGGTGCAATGTATTAGAGTAACGACGATTTTTGAAGTAAGTTTTAGTATCGTTTTTTTATTTCTCCCATTTATTCATTCAATCGTTCTTTTTATCACTCAATATTTCAAATTATTCTTCCATTAATTGATTCGTTAATTTATTCTATCCATTTATTCGTTCGTTTCTTTGTTCCTTGATTTACTACTACGCTAATAAAAAAACTTGTCTACAGAATGGTGAGAGGTGGGCTGTGGTCGGCATCAGACCGTTTCAGATAGTGGTCTCATGATGATCGTTCCAATGACTATTCGAGGAAAACCATAAAGACGATTTTTGAAGTATGGCTTAGTTTCGTTTTTTTATTTTTCTCATTCATTCATTTTATCACTATCTTTCTAATTATTCCTCCATTAACTGATTCATTCATTCATTCTATTCATTCATTAAATCATGGATTGGTTAATTAATCGGTTAATTCATTCATTCAACCAATCATTCAGTTAATCATTTATTCGTCCGTTCCTTTGTTCCTTGATTTACTACTACGCTAATAAAAAACTTTTACAGAATGATGAGAGGTGGGCTGTGGTGGGCGTCAGCACGTTTCAGATGGTGGTCTCATGATGATCGTTCCGATGACAATTTGAAGATAACATTAATGGGAAATTTGTTTTTGTCCCATCGTACCTTTGAAAGTACTCAAATTCGAACAAGGGATTACTTTATTATTTATTATTTTTATTACTTTTTTCCAATGGCTTGTTACAATAGCATCAATACAACACACACGTACACAACATCCATTCATTCGTTGTTATGTTTCTCTTCAACTTTCTATTTTCTTTACCGGACTTAATTTAATTCATAGGTAAGTTAGGGATTGAGATGAGTTGAACAATCGTATGTAGTTAAAAAGTTTCAAGTAAAATAAAAACGTTAAAATATGTATAAAATAATACCTAAAACATGTAAAATTTCAAAAACATAATAATACAAATTTGTATGTAGGTGGGTGAATTGAGCTAATCATTATAGATAAGCTAGGGCCCTGAGAGTAATTTAATCGTAGGTAGGTTACTGACTACTATTCTTGCGACTTCTTACAATTTTTTTGTGATGTGTTTGTATTTGCTTCACACCACCACACCACACACACACAAAACAAACTAAATTTTATTCTCGTCGTCGCCATGAATTTTATCTTTTTGGACAATTTTTCTAATGATGTCTATTTATTTATTTGTAAAATGTTGACTGGTTTCAGGTTTTTTTATTTTGGTTATATAATTTTTGGTATTTCCTGATTTACTTTGTATATAATTCTGTTTGGTATTATGATTTAGTCATTATGATATACTGTGAACTGTTTTTTATTAAATGTTCATGTTGCTTGATTGTTCTCCGAGAGCTACCGAGGAGTGTTATATTGGGTTGTTTAAAATCTGAATTTTTTTAAATTGACATTTTTTAAATTTAAATTTTCCGTCTTTTTTCATTTTTGATTGGTATCAAATAAAAGCAACTGTTGAATATCCTTACTAAAATCTCGAAATTGTTTGTTGTCAAAATTGACTGACTGATTGATTTGATTGATTGATTGAATGATTAATTGATTGATTGGTTAGTTGGTTGGTTGGTTGGTTGATTGATTGATTGATTGATTGATTGATTGATTGATTGATTGGATTGATTGGATTGATTGATTGATTGATTGATTGATTGATTGATTGATTGATGATTGATTGATTGATTGATTGATTGATTGATTGATTGATTGATTGATTGATTGATTGATTGATTGATTGATTGATTGATTGATTGATTGATTGATTGATTGATTGATTGATTGATTGATTGATTGATTGATTGATTGATTGATTGATTGATTGATTGATTGATTGATTGATTGATTGATTGATTGATTGATTGATTGATTGATTGATTGATTGATTGATTGATTGATTGATTGATTGATTGATTGATTGATTGATTGATTGATTGATTGATTGATTGATTGATTGATTGATTGATTGATTGATTGATTGATTGATTGATTGATTGATTGATTGATTGATTGATTGATTGATTGATTGATTGATTGATTGATTGATTGATTGATTGATTGATTGATTGATTGATTGATTGATTGATTGATTGATTGATTGATTGATTGATTGATTGATTGATTGATTGATTGATTGATTGATGAACATTCCATACCTTCTCAGTGAATAAAATGATCAAACGAACTAAAACATTCTTCAAAAAATAATTATTAAAATTAATTATCAACAAAACAAACACCTGAATGAATTCAAAACTTGTCGCCTGTGGCGGTCGAACCAAACTCACCATGCCCAAATTTTCTGTCTACAATTTTATTCAAAGATATCTATCAGGAAACACAAGATTCACACAAAATGTGTAGGCATTTGTACAATTGATATATTTGATAGCAGCTGACAGATCGTTTCGAAATTTCAATACTTGTTTCATAGTTGAAGGTAAGGGCCAACCTTCCAACCAAAACATGCCAACCTTGTCTTATTATTCACCATATTTAAGTAGGTATTAAATAACATTTACAATAATTTACACTTACGCAAATATTCTTAGAAGAACTTTATATATATTTATAGATTGGATTAGGCAAGCATTATCAAAACATTTAAAAATTAAAAATTGTCCATAGGCCTGAGCAAGTAAACGTGCTGAACTCGATAATATATTAAAATTGAAGAAAATTGAATTAATAAATAAATATTTTTTGCGTAAAAAGCTTAATTGAAAAAATATACGTACGCTCGTTAAAAATTAAAGCAAATAATAAAAAACTTGCATGAATAGGTTTAATCTACCATTGAAAACATCCATCATGGATCATCTATAACGCTTAGAAAGTTTGAAATTGAAGTCTGAAAACTTTTATAAAAAAAAAAACTCAGAGCGCTTAGTTAGACACAAAAGCACAAACAAAATAACAGACAAATCTATTATCACTTCACTTAGCGTTAAGTGGGGTACATCCACAACAGATAATCGTTGGAAGGAAGTGTATCCATTAGTGAATTTCTATTAATAATTTAATAAATGGAAGACACTTAAACGTTGCAAGCAATGAAATTAAGAATTTCCACAAGAATTAAGATTAAGAAGTTCCACAAGGAAATTTTCTAATTTCGAAGAAGTTAATGAAAGATTTTGCTAGGTCTTCAAGGTTCCACAATATTTCAAAACTGAAAAGACGCCTTTTTTAATGCACTTTTTCTTTAAATTTTTTTGGATTAATTTTTCGCATTAATTCAAATTTAATGCTCTAATTTGAATATACATTCTGCACAACATCACACTGTCATTCGTTAAAATGAGAGCTTAAATGAAAAGTTTTACTTAACATTTCAGGAAACTGTTATTATTTTTTGCAAGACCAAGACCATTTTATCATTGCAGAACATATACTTGTTCACATTCCTGCTCGAATAGTTCCTCATGTTGTGTTCGATAAATATCATTAAAAAAATTTAATTAAAATTTTCTAATTCAATAAAATTCTTGATAAAGGCTGACAAATAATACTGAACCAAATTTTTCATATTAATTTATTTAATTTGTTTATATTTTTAACGAAAATAGTTTTAATATTTACAAAGAAGAAGCAAAGTAATGTTGATAGCTAAGGTTTTCACGTTAATCATTTTATTATTATCGTTCGCAACCATCCTCCTTTTGTCAGCTTTAACAGCTGACAATAAGTATCAAATGATTGGGAAGCCAGATAATCCCAGGTGTTTTGTCTCCGAACCTACCGCAGTACTAACCAACATCCGATCCTTTCTGGAATGTTCCAGCAAATGTTCTCATCAAGTCTCTCCCGTTGATAATAACACCACTACTTGCAACGCATTCAACTACATATCCAGTGATGCTAGTAGTCCAGCCAAATATTGCCAACTCTTCAATTTCATGTGTGACTTTGAATTCAAAATGATTTCTAACATTTCCAATTGTCAAGCTTACGAGGCTAGTTGAATTTTCACTTTAGATAACTTTTTCTACGATGTCTACATTAGTGATTGACCGAAACCGAACCGGACTAAAACCGAATCCTCGGCCGTTATCCAAGCTTCGGCCGAAAGTGAATCTTTTCAGAAATAATAAAACATGGACTTCACATCGGATCGGAACATAGTACATTTTTCACGTACGGTCAACATTCGACGAATCAAAAATCTAATAAAAACAATACACACGGTAGTTTACAAACGAAGGGTTTGGCAAAATTTTAAAAATTATTTAAGTATTTACACATTTTTAATAATCAAAATTAAAAACTCAGATGTTATATGCTAGGAATAAAAGTTTCTATACGTTTTCTCTTTTTCGATCATCCCTGTTACCAGAACATACTAGTCCAACTTAACCCGACTTTTAGTTAACAATACAAATTTTGATAAAGATAATGAAGGAGTTACTGTTTTGAAACTTTAAAAAAATATATCGACGTTGCCAAAACCGAAACTCCAGCCGAAACTAAATTATTTGACCAAAACCGTCCAAAACCCAAACGCTAACCAGACCCTCGGTCAGTCTCCAGTTTAAATTTATTTAAGGTTAAATTTTTGGAATTTTTCATTGCAGGACGTTGCAAGCAAGAAAGCTTCATGTTAGTACAATTTTCATTCATTTGATGTTTTTAAAATGCTGGAATAATACATTAAAAATGAAAACATTCAAATTAGCCATTATTGCGTTAATCCTGTTAAATTAACTGTTAATAAACCCTGCAATTCTACAAACAATGCACTCGATAAAAGTAAGAAAATATTTTTTGGAAATCGGAAAAATTTGGTGACCATTTGGAAGGTTTTCTAGGATTAGGTTAGTGGAGGCTCTGCGTATCACAGTGTATATATGCCTCTGAAAAATTTGCAACAGTGTGATGAACGGCAATGATTTTGTTCAATTGAACCTTACTAAGAAATTTTGTTTATAAATGAAACCAATTAGTCTCAAGAATTTGATAACTTTTGTTAACGCCAAATAATTTTAGAATTTTAAAAATAAGTTTAAAAAATAGTTTTATTTTTAAATAGATTTCAAAGTAAATAAAGTGTTGAAGATGTCGGTGGACAACGAATTAAGAGAGTTGTATGTGAACGGACTCAACATACCCGTGGTGCCAGCAACTTTTCCAAACGCTCTCCTATGGAACGTACCTGACACATACAAGCTGACATGCAGGGTCCTCTATGTTCTTGCAATAAAAGGATGGAACAATGGCCACTATGGTTATTATTGCAAATCATTTAATTGAAAAAATGAGATACGTAGAGTAATGTTTTTTAAGTACAAATGATTCCATGAGCACAAAAACTGTCTTTGTCCAAACTTTTTTACTGCCAAAAATGTTAAATGTTTTATCAAAATAAATATTATCGATTGACCAAAGGTGGTTTAGTAGTCAGCACACCAGACAACTACATCCTCACCAACAAAACTTGGAAATGCAATATAACCTACCACAGTGGTTGGTACAAAATCAAGTATGACGATTCACTCTGGCCTGTTGCTCGTTACGGCAGTGCTCAAGGAGACAGCTCCATCAACTCACAACTCTCTCCTATTGTCAAGTGGATCATTGATCCCACCGACTGCTTGAACTGCATTTTCTACTGTAGGAAGACTTTCACAAGCGAGTATTTTTTTAATGAATTTTCAAATAAATTTATATTAATAGTAATGATTTGTTCACCTCAGGTCCCTAATATGAATGGCTTATGCCATCAAAACAGAACATCACTGATAAACACACTTCGTTAACATATTGTTTGTGGAAATTTTCATATCAATTTCTATGCTTGCCTAAACAGTTTGCACTATTTAGAAATACAAAACAAAATTTTCATCAAATACCAAAATTGAACTAAGCCCAATTTTAATGAATTAATTTAAGTTTTAAGAACGTTTAAAATTTTATCAGTATGTGTTGGTAACTGTTGGTAAAGCACAATGAGAAATTTCACATATTTATCGTTTTGAATGCACCTCGTATCTAATATAGAACACTCAAGTCATATACATTTTTATACTATCGCTTTCATCAGCACTGTTTTTGTCTGTCAACGAATGCATGTATGAAAGAAAGGTGTCACTTCTAATAAATATTTATTGCTTTTAACGTTAATATCGTTGTAATTGTGTGGAAATTCTCCAAAAAATAATTAACAACAAAACATCTTATTAATTATAAACTCTGGACGTTAGAGATATATCATAGCAGCCTGTCAGCTCTTGACAATCGTCAAGCGTTAATTAAGTGTTTGGGCTTTTTGTCGAAAATTCTCTTTCAAAAACACAGAATAGTATAAGATACTTGAAAGCTATAAAATTGAATGATTTGATGCGTTGTGCTGATGAACAAATGTCATTTTGTGTATGATTGCTTCTACTTTTACTATTCATTTTTTCCTATTTAAAAATTCATTTTAATGTGACCAAACTATTTCTATTCAACAAATTTTTTTTCAATTTATGTTTTTTTGAATAAACTTATACGAAATTATTTTTATGAGGCCACAATTTGACAAACAGGTGTTAATGATACACTAATTATCTCAGTTCAAGTGAATGATATAAGAGCGTTAGTGTGTATGGCATTGTTTAAACCTGAATGTTTCTGTCTCCCGTCCATTGGTCTGCCTCTCTTGTTCTGCATAACGATCTTCACCTATTTTGAAAAGATGCCGGCATGAGTTTGAGAACCTGCTACTCAATAAAGTTTCCACTGGATGGATTATCGGTTGGAAACAGCAGCCAAACAGCTCAACTTCCTCCAATTTATGTGTTAGTTTTTTATTTTCTATTAAAAACTTTTCAAAATGTTTTATTTAGAAATAAATTTTGCGGCAACTCACGTAAAAGCTGTCATATTGGTTAGTAATTAAACAAATGGCAAACAAAATAAACAGAAACAAGCGAAAAAACCCCATCAAAATGTTCCAACTGAATAAGGAAATGATGTGAGACGAGCGAGAGAGGCATCACCTACATCGTACCTACACGATATCCCCTAGCGATTTCCGATAAATACATCTGATCCTATACACGGTGGGTAATAAATTTTTTCTTATGTTGCACTCATTTGGACACACGCACGCACGCACACACACGCACGCATTACATTCTGTATTTATGACGACACGTGACGTAGCTGAAGCTATTATAGTAAGATAAACTTTCATACGAGTATTTCAGTTACAATATGGTTCTACCGAATATTCTAATTTACAAAAACTTGTTTTTTTTTATTTGGTCTTAACTCTTATTTGGTTTTTGCTTTATTTTAAGTTTTATAATTCCTAATTCAAAATAATTCCTAATTCACAATACCCAAACCATAATTCAACTTTTAATTCATGTATGCTGGCTACTTCTGACGACATCAAACCGGCCATGATTAAGTCAGACCAACAGCTAATATGATAATAAAATAATAAACTTCAGTATTAAAATCCATTCTCAGTCATTTGATAATAGCGTTCACTTATTTGTAGCTGAAAAACCACAATCAAGGATTTAATATTTTATATTCCTGTAGCTATAATCATACATTGCTATGAAAATGTCATCGATTGGTTTTGAAACTTTGTTTTACATTTTGAAAATGACATAATATTTCTGTTAGTTTTAAAAAAATAAAACTGAATTTTAAAAATCTGAAAACGATATTTGTTGACACGGGCTCAAATTTATAAAAACAAAACAAAATTATAACCGATGACAACCGCCTACCATGAAATACATGAACTGTGAACATCAGAGATTTAGCAAAAAACCAGACAGTTAATAAGAATCTGAAATATCACGTCAAGCGTTAAGTCAGTGTTTGGCTTTTTGTCCAAAATTCTCTATTTATAGCACAGCATTTATATAAAACTTATTGATAGGATAAAATTGAAATCTTTGAGGTGTTGTGTTGCTGACAGACCGTTGCAGATTTCTCTATCAGTGAACTACAGAATAATAAATAGAGTAATTTGGAGTCTGCACAATAACTAGGGGCCTCTATGCCTGTGATAAATTCGGCCCTAACAGTATGCCAAAATTTTGCTGGCTTTTAATGGAAATGTACATTTAGTAATGGTAATTGTTTGACTGTTTCCAGTCATTTCCTTCCTAACTTATGTTTTACGCCACGCACCGCGTTCGTATGAATGGATACATCGTTTAGGTTTTAGGATTCCATTTGCTAATTGATTTTAAAAATTCTTAAAGTCAAATTTGAAAAAATGAAAGTTCTGCAAAATAGATATTTACTTCAGTAAATGTTTGACGGTTTCTCATCATTTCCTTCCAAACTATTGTTTGTAGACCGCGTTTGCATGAATGGTCCATGCATCGATTACGTTTTAAAAGTCCATTAGCTAATTGACACGAAATATTTTAAAACAAAACATAGCAAAATAACAGTTTGGGTAGAATTAGCATTGTAAATAGTGACAAAAAAGAATATGATGCTATCGATGAAGAAAAGGTGACCAAGGAAGATAACAAGCCAATAAAGAAACCTGACAACTAATTTCCATCTAAGTTCATTTTGACAAAGTCAATTTCCAACTAAGTTCATTTTGACAAAGTCAATATTTCCTTATATAAACATGAAAAAAACAATGATGATGATTCATTCGGAATCGAAATATGGCCCTATTTGCAGCATGAATTCGGAAAATAAGTTTATTTTGAATTTTAGTAAACTAAACGTTCACCAAAAAACTTTAGGGAGAAAAATTGAAAAAAACGAACTACAAACATATTAACGCCAAACATTCGGTAGAATTTATAGAATATTGTTAAAAAAAAATATATATATAAAGTTATAATACATTTATAATGTTGTATTTACACATTCAAATTGTACAATTGCGTTATGGTGTGGTCTCAAATTATTTTGAATTTTCTCAGAAAAATTTAAACTTTTTACTAAATACTAACTTTTATAAACAATTTAAAAAAATTTTAATTTGACTTCATTGCGATATCGATAATGATTTTTGTGACCTGACTGATTAAAAAGCATGAAAGAAAATTTTTAAAATAGGTTGGAGAATTTGTTATATTGGGATATTCGTATATAAAGCGAGCAAAATTTTAATCTGCTTGGAATCGGATGTTAAGCAAGGTGTGGTCTCAAACTATTTTGAATTCCCGCCGAAAAATTTGAACTGCGTGCGTAAATATTTAGCACTGGTTACAGTTGCTTTTATGATGAATTTATATTATATATATATATATGTATATAAAAGTATATATATATAAATTGACAAGAATCCATGTATGCAAATAATTAATAAGATTATAAACCTATTCTCATTGGCTCAGATTTGATTGGCTCGGCCTGAAATCTATCTGCTTGGCTCGGCTTGAGAGTCAGGCCGAGTGAAGCCGTATATAAATATTTAAATTATACAAGTGATGTTAAGCAAGGTGTGGTCTTAAACTATCTTGAATTCCCGCCGAAAAATTTAAACTGCGTGCGTACATATATAGCACTGATTACTGTTGCTGTTATGATGAATTTATATATAATATATATATATATATACATATATATATTTAAATATATAAATTAACTAAAATCCATGTATACAAATAATTAACAAGATCAAATGTTTATATAAAAAGCAATATAGCAGATTCAACCAGCCAAGCAGAAAGTTTCGAAGGCGTTCGTTCGATAGTACGGTTAGCATTGTTGTTAAAACTGTATAGTGTAGCACATACATTAAACAAGTTTTTAACTGATGTGAATGATTGAAATGATGACAATGTATGGTTGAAACGAGTATAAATAGGGGCTGAGAGAGCGTTGAAATCAGAACAGGCATTTCTGCCTCGCTCGAGTCAGAGTGCATGATCTCATTTTTTAATATTTATATTTTTTTAATTTATTTATTTTTATTTATTTTTATTTTATAGAGTTATATAGAGTTTGCATATCTGTGGTTTGTGTGTTTGTATGTTGTATTTTTTTATATTTTAGGTGGGTTCTTTAGCGGTTGCTCATACATACATACATACATACATCATGTTTGTTTGTGTGGTAGTATTTTATGTTCTTTTTTACTCCTTTTTCTCTTTCTTCATGAGACTTAAGTTGAGTTAATGAAACGTAGTAGATGAGATTGAGATTAATTTATTATATAGGTAGGCTAGGGCATAAGGTAATTTAGTTACATAGGTAGGTTAAGAACTTATATTCTTTTACTCTACTTGGTGGTGTGTTTTTTGTTTTGTGTTTTTTTTTGTTTTGTTTCATACCATACATATAACAGGTACGCGGTGGTTCCTGGTTTTAGTGGGATTTTTATTGATTGAATGTGGTAGTATGCATGGTTATATAGAGTTATATAGAGTTATATAGAGTTATATAGAGTTATATAGAGTTATATAGAGTTATATAGAGTTATATAGAGTTATATAGAGTTATATAGAGTTATATAGAGCATAAATCTTATATAGATACCTTTCCTTGAGGTTCTTTTCTTTGCCGACCGGTCGGCTTCTTTGCGTTTCTCTATTTTCATTTCAATTAATTTAATAAATAAGATTTTTCCATTCATTTAGGTTCATTCAGGTTCGTTCATTCAGGTTGAAGCTTCCAGAGGAGTTCATCGTGGAAGATCAGAATGGTTGTGATGTCACGCTACGTTCGTTCATTCAGTGGCAGAATGCTCGTCTGGCTGGGGTTCGTTTTACGGTTTCTTTGCGGTTCTTTTTTTGCCAGTTAGCTGGTTTTTTCAGCTGGCGGGTTTCACGTTTCCCTATTTTCATTTAAATTATTTAAATAAACATGATTTTTTTCATTTATTCATTTCATTCAGGTTGAAGCTTACAGAAGAGTTCAGTGGCAAAGAACACACGCCTGGCTGGGATACGTTTTATTCTTTATTCTCTGTAATTTAACATTAAGTAAGAATGCTCACACGCACGCACACACACACACAATTACATTAAGTAGCTCTATAGGTAGGTTAGATAGGCGTAATTTTAATTGTAGGTAGGATAGATAGGAAGCATCCAACACTAATGTAGTTTAATAGGTAGGCGCGTAAGTTTAGCTCTTCTATTTTTTCTTGCACTCACATTACACGCATCAGCGTATTACACACACACACACACACACAAATACATACATAAACACATATGTTAGTATTTGAGCGTAATTTTATTTTCATTACACATTCTAATTTATTATTACTAAGGTTGAGAGTAATTTAATTTCATAGGTAGTTAAGGGCAATAATGTAATTCTAGGAACAATCTTGTAATGTAAATTAAAACGCTGTAAGTGTATCGATTGGTAGGTTAATTATAAGTTTTACATTATTATTATTATTATGTTGGAGCCCAAGGCATTACGTAGGTGGTGGGGTGGGTGCCGAAAGGCCAATGAATTGGGCTCTTGAGTTTTGTAATTTGAGGTAAGCTAGGGCCGTTATGTAATGAATAGGTAAGTTAAGGCACGTTGTAACACATACTCATAATAGATTTAGGGTTTAAGTTTTATATTATTATTACTAAGTTGGAGCCCAAGGCATTACGTAGGTGGTGGGGTGGGTGCCGAAAGGCCAATGAATTGGGCTCTTGAGTTTTTTACTTTTAAGTAAGCTAGGGCTTAATTGTAATAAATAGGTAAGTTGAGGGTACGATAGCCGATAGACTCTGAATTTCAAAGTCTGTTGTCAGAGGTTAG